TGAATACATTATCATCAACAAAGACGGTGTTCAAATCAACATAAAGAAGACTCTTCCGAGCAATTATAAAAGCTATTATATCTAGTATACTCATTGTTCAATTAAACAATAGAATCTCTTTCATGGAGTCTCACCTTGATATCCGACTGGGATGTTTCCAACCAGTTTGAGTAGATCCTTCTGTAAACTGTCATTAAATGCTGCAAAATAAGTTTCAGTAATGACTCAGCAGATTCAAATGATCACAAGTAAGATGTATACAATAATTTAAGCTTTGAACTCCCTATGACTAAACCAGATAAATATGGTTTTATATGTTATCATGTTTTATGAAAATGACTTACTGTATGTTCCAGACTTAACTTCCATATCAGTGTGAACGCGAGACACTTTCTGGAGCTCTTCAATGGCCACATCACGATATTTATACTAGTAAGGAAACCAAGTACCATGTTAGAGAGAGAGTAAATAATCCACATTTAAAGGTGTGATTTTTGACACACTGACTAAACTTTTCAAACAGGCTTAACCAGTGTTTATCATCACCCTTATTCGCCAATATATAATATTACTAGTTCATGTTACTCACCTTAGAGAGAACTTTCTTCACAGATTCCGAATTTAAATCCATGATCGCTGTTTAAAACTTGTGCGGTAAAACCGTGGAAGCCCGAGCTGTTAAATCTCAACCAGGCAATAGTGGAACTCAAACTTCCGCAAACACATTTCACCCATTAGACTGCTGTCTGTCCTACGGCAAGCCGAGAGGGCTGATGTCATGCAAATGAAATACGCTAGGCGGTTTAATTTATTTTACTAAATCAGTCATCACAAATTGAATTAAAAAAGTACAAATATAAATAAATATATTATAATTTATGAGATTACAAATATTTTAGGGATGGCTTTCTGAAGGCACCTTTATGAATCTTATATGTATCCATAATATAAACTATTTAAACTTTATTTGTAAATCTAATGTTCTTTTACAGGGCTCACCATTATGAAAAGAAAATGAATGTAAATGAATTCACGTGCACATCATTATTATTAGTTTGAGTGTGAGTGTGAGTGTGAGTGTGTGTGTGTGTGTGTGTGTGTGTGTGTGTGTGTGTGTGTGTGTGTGTGTGTGTGTGTGTGTGTGTGTGTGTGTGTGTGTGTGTGTGTGTGTGTGTGTGTGTGTGTGTGTGTGTGTGTGTGTGTCTGTCTGCCCTCTTAAAGGGTTAGTTCACCCAAAAATGAAAATTCTGTCAGTAATTACTCGCCCTCATGTTGTTCCAACCACGTAAGACTTTCGTTCATCTTCGGAACACAAATGAAGATATTTTTGATTAAATCTGAGAGCTGGATCACTCCTTCATAGGCTTCTTTGTTATTGAAACCTGCCGGCCAAGAAAGTTATCTTTAAAATAGTCCAAGTGACAACAGTGGCTCAATCTTAAGTTTATCAAGCGACGAGAATACTTTTTGTGTGCAAAAAACAAACAAAAATAACAACTTTATTCAACTATTCATTTCCTTCTCTGTGGGCCTCGAGTGATTTCACGTAGTGGAACAGCGCAGCGCTTCTGTTGTACTTCAGAACATAGGCTCACTATTGGCCGACGCTGGTCATGAGTGTGATGCTGGCCAATAGTGAGCCTGCGTTCTGAAGTACAACAGAAGCGCTGCGCTGTTACACTACGTGAACTCACTCGAGGCCCACATAGAACAAAACTAATAGTTGAATAAAGTGGTTATTTTGGGGGGTTTTGGCACACAAAAAGTATTCTAGTCACTTGATAAACTTAAGGTTGAGCTATAGTCACTTGGACTATTTTAACAATGTTTTTATTAACTTTCTTGGCCGAAAGGTTTCAATAACATAGAAGCCTATGGAGAAGAGATCCAGCTCTCAGCTTTAATAAAAAATATCTTAATTTGTGTTCTGAAGATGAACGAAAGTCTTACGGGGTTGGAACAACATGAGGGCGAGTAATTACTGACAGAATTGTCATTTTTGGATGAACCCTTTAATCTTTAATCAAAATAACTTCCCCTCCATATTTGTTTACTGGCACGAGGGCGGGACAACCTGTCACGATCGACCAATAGCAAACCACAACCATCCAACAATCCAATCCCGATGGACAAAATCAAGTTCAGCCCTAATTGTTTTTTTGGTAACACTTTACAATAAGGTTTCATTAGTTAACATTTGTTAACTACATTAGTTAACATGAACTTAAAATGAACTGCACTTCTTCACCATTTATTAATCTTAATTAATGTTAATTTCAACATTTACTAATACATTGATAAAATCAAAAGTTGTATTTGTTAACATTAGTATGCACTGTGAACTAACATGAACAAACAATGAACAGCTGGATTTTTATTAACTAACATTAACAAAGATTAATAAATAAGGTAACAAATGTATTGCTCATTGTTAGTTCATGTTAGTTAACACATTAACTAATGTTAACAAAACAAATGAAACCTTATTGTAAAGTGTTACCATTTTTTTTTTTTTTTTTTTTTGTCATTCGAAAAGCCATCTCACTCGCAAATCTAGTCAAGTTTTTCTTATTTTAATTTAATTTTTTTAATTAATAGACATTTATAACACTATGTATTATTACCTTGGCAGTGAATTACGAAAAACAAATGAACATGACTGGGTTAGTATCTCTAATACAAATCTCACATCGTTCTCTCTTCTGACTGCTGCAGTCAATCTCTCTACATTTTCCCCTCTTTTAAAGTCAGAGAAAAGCTGTTGTGGATTTTTTTTTTCTCTTTTGCTATTGCAATTGGAAATACAAAAATTACATTTGCTGTCATCTCCCGTCCCCCACTATAGAAGTTTACCCAACTATGACAACTTTCACTTCTGAGAAACCTGGAAATTTTGAATGGGTCCATAGGGTAGAAAAGCAGATAGCTACTTCTGTTTCATGCCATCTTTAATAATTGTCCTATATTAACATCATATTCAATCCAAACTCAAAATATATTAAAGTTCATCAGCATCACTATTTAGGTGTAAAATATCAAGGTTGGTGAATTAGTACATATGTATCGCTGTTGTAGCTTTTTATGTGTTACTTTTCACAGCACTGAATGGACCAATCACAGTTGTTTGTGATTAAATTATTATTATTATTTGTATCTATTTAGAGAGATTTCCAGAATAGAAAAATGGTGCAATGTTTATGACGATCATTGGAATTATATATTTGTGTTATATATTATATATTGTTTCAATGCTTCAATATAAGGCTTTGTCCCGCCCACGATAATCGAACAACCAATCGGATGGGGACATTCCATATCCAGCAGAACAGAACTAATCTGATTTGCATATCTCATTCTAACAAGCTCATTTGACCAAATGCATGTTTGCTTATCAAAATACAAATATATTGGGTGAAAAACCACTGAATATGTATATTGTCTTTTCTGATGCAATATTTTTTCAATAATGTTGAGGTTATATTCACTTTTTCGGTTCAATTGTTCAACTTATTTGTCCTCCATTCTATCCCCCACCCCAGTTTGTGACGTCAGAAACACCAGCTATTTCAAACTGTGTTTTTGAGACTGTCTTTGTTTCACTGCAGTTTTAAAGTCCCCATGAATTCAAAATTGACCATACTTACTTTGTTTGCCTAAATTGATCGTTTTGTGGTGAACAATTCATCCATGCAAGTCAATCCACACAAAAAAATTTTTTGGCTTCGTAATCTTTAATCAAAATCTGAAATTTCCCCTCCCCTCTGCGTTGGAGGACCTTGCCTGATGACGTAGGTTTCACGGTTTGGGTGTCTGCTTAACAACCATAATCACGCCCCTCCAACTGACAGTAGACAGGCTGAATGAAAACACCTACTTTTCTAGATCCAATCAGGTGCTAGTTGGGGAAAAAGCCACGCCCACCATTTTGCCTCATTTAGTATTCCGTTTCTCTCGGAAATACGTCACAACACTGGAGAAAAGTCGTTTGCAACTTCCGGTTCACGGGGACTTTAAGGAGAAAATACTCAGCAATTGTGTTGACTTATGAATTTGCACATGGTTTGTCTTAAAGCATTTTAAAAACACCACATAGACATATAAACAACATTAAAAGCTTGAATTCTTCACCACAGGGAGACTTAAAACCTGGCTAGTGTCTTCTGCTGGTTAGATCAGCATTAAAGAACTATCTCAACTGTTAAATATAAGATTAAAATAATATCGATTTGTCTCATTTTAAATAAACACAAAAAAAAACCAGAGATGAAAAATGAACTTAAGAAATTTACTTTTGCAATAGATAAAAGTTCAGCAATATCTTCCAAAGATCTTTTAAATTTTGGCTCTATTTTTTCTCTGTATAGTGTTGAAATGGACACTAGTAAATCATGCTAGCATGTGTGGGAAGTTTTAAACCATGTGTTACAACTAGCCCCGCTCACCCCACTCCATAGATAATAAAGACACATGATACTTGAGCGGGCTTTCACTCTAGTCTGGTCAGTGACAAAATTAGAGCGAGCAAATAATTAGTAAAGGTAGGCAAATATTAGCATATTAAGCTAGGCAAATATTAGCATTAGCATAGCAATATCGAATGCACTCTGTTGGTCAAAACCACTTTAGCACTTTATTTGAGCATAGTGCTTCATTTCTACAATGGTTGTCTGGATCAATAACCCTTAAAAAGTACTGTGGTGGCAATAATATTTAATTCGCATTTGTAACCAATAGTATCCAATGGTGCTTAAAAGGTTCTTCACAGAATACCATGGCATTGCAACTAATATGTTACAAATTAGTTTGTGGACTAGTTGTCTATAGACAAAGCAAGACATGTTGAAATTTGAATGATGTAATTCGCATTACAAGACCATGTGCAAAGTGACAAAGTTAATATTTGAGTTCCATACCAACTAACTAATTTGTCTTCCAGATTTCTGTAACCAGATCCACAATTAAAGCAAAAATATTGAATAAACAAATGACAGGACAAAAGCATCTGTCAAATAATTTTAACAAAAAAATACATTGGAAAAATGGCAGTCTTCTGTCTTTTCTCGTCAATTAAATAGTACTATAAGTAATAAAATAACTCTCCCGAAATCAGGACCAATTTTGTAGTTGTTGGTGCACGAGGTGTAAGGCATCCACATCAATATACTTACATTGTTTCTACAGATACAAAAATTGCCATTGTGATTCTCAGATATTCATTTCATACATGATTTTCTCCGAAGCTCAGCTACGTCAGATGGGCTCATGATAGTGCAAACCTGCTCCCACGGTTTGGCCATTCAAATAAATAGTGTAACAATGTCTGTGGCACATTTCCACTCCGCTCGGTTCCAACCACATTAGACTAGATCAAAGTCAAGTCAACTAAATCTTTTTCCGGTTTGCTTTCATTGCTAGTTTTCTTTTCATCTCCTCCTCCTCCATTCGCATTTCTTCTTCATCCTCCTTGATACCCAGGCGTAAACTGAAGCAGAAAAAAAACAGATGTCATTATGGAACAAACTTTCTCCGGTCTTCTGCGTTAAAGGGAGTGAAGCATTTTATTTCAGTCTATCGGAAAACACAGTCATTTTCTCTTCTTGGCATTCTTCCGATTCATCTCCTCAAGTTCTCGTTTTTCCTCTTCCTGGTCTTCAAACACTGCCATTCGCAGGCTAATCAGACAATCGGAGCAAGGCACAGCACAAGAAACACACAGAAAGAAGGCAATAGTGTGTTGATTTGGTGAAAATGATGATGTTAGTTAGTCAAAGCTACTATTTCCCCACTCACAGTCCGCAGATGAACGTGTTGGCTTACCTCCTTGCTTCCTCTTTCTGCTGATCTTTCCAGCTGCTCTCCATAAACTTCAGTGCATAGTCGCTTTCATCTTTATATCTATTGAAACGAAGGACACGTTACCGCAATACATGCAAAAAAACACTTTTTTTAAGGCTCTACACAAGTATTTGATCTTGGTAAATGTGAACAAATGTTTGCGTATAGAGTATATTTCAAGGCAAAGGATATTTTATGTAACCTTAAAAAGGACAAGAACTCACTTGCTCCTGTCATAACCAAAGATTTCCCTGATATGTTTTGAAACTTCATCTTGGTCTTCTCCTTCATCGTCGATGAAGTCATCCATCTCCGAGTCGTACTCTTCCTCCTCTTCATACTTCCGTTTATAAGTGGATGTTATGGGGGGCAACGATGGTCCTTCAAAAATAGCGGGGGATACAACTTCAAAAACATGCAAGAACACACAAGGCATTGATGTTGCTACTGACTACAAGTTAAAGACAACCTGTCTCATTCATGAAAACAAGAATGAAGGTGTGTGTAAATAATTCATAAACCCATGCAAATTCAACGCAGCAATTCAGAGACACAATTAACTTAAGAATTGATTCACAAATTAATTCTGCTTGTTTCATAAATTACAAAGTATGTAAACAAAAAACAGGATTCCTAGTTTTGCAGATGATTCACTAAATCAATTGCCTTTGACAAAGCAGAAGCATCCATGATCAACTAAAGGATTATTCCAGTATTGTATAATATCTGTCTGCAAAATCCTAAAATTCCCCCCAGAATTCCTCCCTGCCTCAAAAACACAGCATGTGATCTTAAAATCAAATCAAAGCAAATCAAAAGAAATTCACACCGATTAGCACTATGCTAAGCTAGTAGGCTATGATGTTAATCGCAGGCCAAAAGTTACCGAAGGGAAAAGTTATGGCATTTTTAGTTTTGGTAAATTTGTACGTAATTTAAAAGACTTTAGTATATTTTCATTCTGTAATACTAAATATAAAGTCAAGCAAATTCATCTTAAAGTCCCCGTGAACCGGAAGTTGCAAACGACTTTTCTCCAGTGTTGTGACGTATTTCCGAGAGAAACGGAATACTAAATGAGGCAAAATAGTGGGCGTGGCTTTTTTTCCAACTAGCACCTGATTGGATCTAGAAAAGTAGGTGTTGTCATTCAGCCTGTCTACTGTCAGTTGGAGGGGCGTGGTTACGGATGTTAAGCAGACACCCAAACCGTCAAACCTACGTCATCAGGGAAGGTCCTCCAATGCAGAGGGAGGGGAAATTTCAGATTTTGATTGAAGATTACGAAGCCAAAACATTTTTTTGTGTGGATTGACTTGCATGGATGAATTGTTTACCACAAAACGATCAATTTAGGCAAACAAAGTAAGTATGGTCAATTTTGAATTCATGGGAACTTTAATTTCTAATCACACACCAATTACAGTATCATAAAAAGCCAATGGAATGGCTTCGGAGTCTGAGGGATATAGGTCTCTGCGACACGAGAGGATGTCTCACGACAATGAGCGGTCAATTGATGAGCTGTCTTTTACCACCAACAATAATATCCACTTAGTTGGATATTACTTGTCCCCTCAGTTTGTAAAACAAACAAGTACTACATGAGTGTCAGCATGAAACTTTCTTTTCAGCTTCCTGAATTGATTAGATCATTGCGGTTTGCCAATTTCCTTGATCTCATGCCCTCACACTGGTGCACGTCATCAGAGAAGAGATGTTGTTGCGAAGGGGAAGGGAAAGTTATTGTTTTGATTAAAGATTACGAGGGTGCATTCATAAAAATAAATTATGTAAACAAATAAATCATTTATAACAAACACTGACATAAACACGGTCAGTAAGTGACTAACACTTTATATTCTTGACATGACACATTTCTGGGTTGACATGACACATTTTTTAAATGCGTATAACGTTTAATCCTGTAATGCCTACTTGTGTTGCTGTAAGTGTATTATATTAATGGATCTTCTGTTTCTTTCAAGGGACAAATAGGAATTATTTTGGGGTATCTTGGGATTGTGATCTAAACAGTAATTATCTTCACGATATTAACAATTAGAATGAATGAAACGCTTCACTTATCGCTTACCGGGAGGTTTAACCAAGACTCTGTGGCCTGAGGGGGCAATCACTGTCCTGGGGCCTTGTGGCCTCGAAGCCATCCCAGGTCTCAATGCAAAGTTCTTTGATGAAATAGTCTCTGAAACAACAGTGCACTGAGGTCTACCAGGGCCAGATCCCATGCCCATGCCATTTACCGGTCTCCCAGAAACACTACCTCCCGTCCTACTTGGTCCATTTGTAAAGGGCCTGGAGCTTCCAGGAACTTGCTGACCTTGAAAACTACCACCTGGTCTTGGTTGCTTCGAAGGCTCACCAGAAGAGGGTCGTACAAGTCCGTTGCTACCAGGCCGAGGTGGAGCAACGCTCCCAGGTCGTGATAAATGTACTGGTTTTGCTGGTTTCTGAGGTTGCCCACCCCTATCGGAGTTACTAGGTCTGCCCTGCCCGGAGTTTTTGTGTGGTCCTTGCCCTGATCTGGCTGCACCAGGAGCCGCTACTGTGCGACTTCCCGAAATACTTGATTTACCTTGAGATACTGAGGTATTCCCCTTCCTTGGGGTAAGGTCACTTGAGGTTGTGGGCCTTTGGCCTCGCGATGGTCTAGGTGGTGCTTGTTTCGAGGTAAACTGAGCACCATATTTCATGGCAGATTTACCATTTAAGACACCCGATGAGCCAGAGTTGTTTCTGTCTCCATGTAGTTTGGCAGAACCTGGAGTTCGTTCACTGGATGCTTGAAGCTTTGGCTTTTTGCTGGCACTACTTGACTGGTGCTTTTCTACTGATGGCTTGGGCAATTTCCCATTTTTGCCATCTCGGTCTACATTCTTCTTCTGAGAATTTGAGCTGGATTGAGATCTGCTGTCTTTCTGTCCTGAATTCCTGTCTGGTTTTGCGTCCTTGCCTTTATTCTGTGTCTTAACCCTGCGCTCCAATTCGAGTTCTCGAATCTCCTCTGCGGTTCTGAGCCTCTCTTCAGTCTTCTTCACTACTTTTAATTCAACAGGTTCATACTGCTTCTTTTGCGCAAGTTTCAAGAGTTCTGCAAAGTTCATTGATGGCGGGGCGGACCTAGCTGGAGCGCTCGCTTTTTTCGGTTTGCTGTCAGCTTTGTTGGAGAACTCCGGCCGAGACTGAGGCGGTGGCGGAGGCTTAACGGGCCTGCTTTGTTCATGTTCATCGGATTCAGAATCTGTACCCTCATAGTCGTAATTATCAACATCATCATCATCATCATATGTGTTTGACCTGTCCTGCTCTTCTGATCTGTCTCCCTTCGACTGCCTCTTTTTGGGCTGGTCTATGACAGGGATGCCGTTGTATCCTCTGAAATTGTCCTTGGTTCGTGAAGCCATTGCTCGTGCCTTCCTGTCTGATTTCAGCTCCACTCTTTTGGCTAACAGTTCTTCTTTTGCCTTCTTATTCTGGATTTCTAAAAAGGAGAAGCAAAGTGACATCAAAATATGCATCATGTGAGTGCCATGTCAGGGCTCCAGACTAACATATGAGATCAGTAGCTCTGGTGCCACTAAGCTCCACAGATGGTGACACCCGCAACTGATGTGGTGGCGCCGGGGGGATTTTTAATCATTGAGGTAATTTAATTTAATTTAATTACATTTGCTTTGCATTAATAAGTGAAGTTAGTTACTAATAATAGTACATGTTTATTTATTAGAAATTTAACAGCTTGAAGTGAGATGTTATTTTCCTTTATCTATCATTAAACTTTTAGTTTTACAAATCACATTAAAAAAAAAAACATTTATTATTATTCGGAGCTTGAAACAGTGTGAAGAGTGAATTTCACTCTCAAAAGGTTGTACGAAGCCTGAGATAAATAACGTAAAAACAATCGAATATTTCTGCCACAATACCATGGTTACAGTTAGCAACACCACATTAAATCCATGGTGAATGTTGTGGATTGAAAAGCCTTCTATAACTTGCTCGTTCATTGCACAATGTTTCTCTTTGTTTCCAGGTCAGCGCTGTTTGATCTGATATCTGAGAATTCTTCGGCGGATTTGATTACTTCTCATTATATTTTGCAGGAATGTTATTAATACTGCGGCGAATTAAAACACTTTGTCATCAGATCTCCCAGCGCTGCGTAGTAAAGGTGTCGTGCGATCGAGATTGTCAAGCAAGAGTTCTGACTGAGCTCACGCGGCGGTCTAATGTCGGTCCGAGAGGATAAACGGTCTGCGCTGCGCAGCTCAAATGAGAAGTGCAGTTTCGTTCTGCTTTCGTTTCGCTTGCCGTTTGAGGTTTCTCATATGGAAATGGCAGCTCTTATCAGTTGGTCAATGTGCTGGTGGCACCAGTGCGACCTCTAACAAAATTGTCGCACCAGCAAGAAAAAAGGTCGCAAAATGCAACCATTTGGGAGCAGTCTGGAGCACTGAATTTTCTGTCGTTTTCTCACCCTCAAGTCTTTCCAAATCCCCATGACGGGGTGTCCTATTCTGCTCCTGGATGGCCACTATCCTGCAGAGTTCATTCAAATCACAATTAAATATACCTGAACCACCAAACAAAGGTCTTGCCTCTTCAGGAACACTAGAAACGTCCTGGCAAGTGTGTAGGTGCATGTTGAAGCTACACTCTGCAGAACGTTAGCAGGATTGGACACATGCCCAATTACATATTCTGTGTACCACAGAATGTAAACTTGTATAATTAACACAAATGTGGATGGATGCTGACATTATTTTAAATTTAAACGAAAAAATTAAGTATTAAAAAAGTGATCCATACAACTTGTGTGTTAGAGATACGTAATATACTGGGACAGTATAATTATAATTATAAGTATAATCAACAACTAATTGATAAAATCGGTAACGAAATTTGTTGACTATTGTTATCGATTATAAGGGTGCTCTGATTGATTGGGCGCCAATCTTTAGCTTTATATTATTTTGATCAGTGGTCTCTATAAAAGGCGTTCAGATGGTGGAAAACGTGCAATTTTTCTATGCACATCTAAAATTGCTTTACTACATTCACCGGTCTGGCAGTTCCACCAGGTGTTTGAAAAGGACAATAAATTTGCAACGTCTTTGCGAAGAGCAGACTGAGACATGGTAACGGCAGCAACCCAACCACAATGACAGCAAGAAACTAGGGCTGTGATATTTTAGTGCATTTCTTTCCTCCCTACAAACCCAAACTTAACATCCAAATTAGGGATGGGCGATATATTATAGCTTGCGATATACAGGTAAAAAGTATCACGATAAGAATTAATCTTCCCGCGATAACGGTAAAGCCTAGTTGATGATGTATTTCTGTTTGGGACCCATTCGCAGCTCACGAGCAGAGTGAAAACAACTATGGCGGAAGGGGGACGTGAGTTTATCGCTAAACGAGGAACTAACTCTACGATCTGGAACTGGTACATATTTTCACTTGTCGAACACTCTTGAGAGTTTCGCTCTGTCAAGCGATCCGTAAGCGTTATTTCAGGCCCTGTCCACATGGACACGGGTATTTTTATAACCGTGACTTTTTTTATGCGGTTCGGCCGTTCGTCCACACGAAAACGCACTGAAACCGAACATTTTCGAAAACCCCTGCCAGGGTGAGGATTTTCACAAACGCCGGTTACAGTGTTGTCGTGTAGACAGTGAAACCGGGGTTTTTGCCTTGCGACGTCAGAGTGTGCGCCGTTATCCGCTGTTTTTGACGTCAGATTTGCGCTTCTGATTGGCCAACGTGGCTTTACGGTTAAGGTTTATATCGCCGCCTGCTGGCGTGGCATGCCCTTGACCGCGCCTGATAGCGTCTTTTTGCGTTTTCATGTAGACGGAGACCGAGCATGTGTGGACGGGATTTTTTATTTAAACGCTGTAGGAAAAACTCTGGTTATAAAAATACCCTTGTCCGTGTGGACAAGGCCTCAGTTCATCTCAATGAATGCACAGTGTATTTGACGCACAGTGAACCCAGCAGCTCATCAATCCTTAGTGCGGTTTCTATTATTAGTAATGAAGGGAGTGGATTCTGGAATCCGCTGCTGCTTCAATGTACATCTAATGAGTGATTATAATCAAGGTATTAATTAATATTTTTCATATAGTTGAATGACTTTCTCTAGGCTTATGAGATTTTACTTTGTTATAGATGTGATTACTGAAATGTTCTTTTCATGTATTCTTTAATGTCTGTATTAAAGGGTAACTAAACACTGAAACAACTTTTTTTAGTTAATGATCTGTAAGAATGGAGCTTCATAAATGCTGTTCTTTGATTCGAGTACTTTTTTTGACATTTGGGTATAAAGTGTTTTAATTTTCAAATATATGGTGTAAAAACGTATGAGTGCTGCCCTCTTCAGGTTAAACGCAAAGGTCCTGCAGTAGGGGTACTCTCTGACGTAGGATACTCTCTGACGTAACTCTGTCACGCCCTTGGTGCGAGCTCACCACGCCCTTGGCAGCCCCTGGTATAAAAGCATCTGGTTCCGTCAAAACTACTGTAGCGAGTCAGGAGTTGGAATTACGAGTATTGAAAACAATCAGGACAGTTTTATATTTGAAAATCAACAAACAACAAATAAAACAAGCAGCTCTATGCACTTTTTAAGGCAAGATTATATTCTGTGGCATTTCCTTCTGACCGTCGTCAATAGCAACGCATTATAAACACAGTGCAAATCCATGCATCACAACGGACGCGCTCTCTCGTTTCATTCAAATACAATTTGCCGTCTTGCGTCTCCGTTTTTGATTGTATTGAAAATAAAATCAGAGTTAATTTGTTTACAGAGTTTGATAATATTGTTGTGATCATCTTGTCTGGACGATTGTTTTGTACGCTGTACAAAATGGATTTATAAACAGGTAAGATTTAAAACATTAATGCGAACTTTTCTTCGTGGAAGCTTCACGTTTTTTTCAAGTGAGTGAGATAAAATATTTCAACTCAAAACAACATTTTGAAGTGGTATTGCAGCAACTTTTTTGTGCATGTTCTGCAGACAGGGTGACCATCATCGATTAAGTTTCCCTCAGGATATTTGTAAAAGCCAAAATATGACCCCACACCTTAGATTTGGCCCTCTTAAAAGGCAGAAAAATCAGATGAAGGTGGGGAAGAAAATACTTCAAATGACCGCTCTGTTCAGGGTTCGTACAGACTCTGTCAAATGAAATTCCAGGACTTTCAAGGACTTTTCAAGCACTAATTTTTTGGATTTCAAGGACTTCAATCGGCACTTATCAAACAATATCTTGATTATTATTTTTACTTATTGATGTTTCAATTCAGAGAGGTGAATCCATTGACCAGCGCTGTCAGGCATGGGAAATCGCCTTAACCATTGAAAGGATATTGAAACTGATTTTTCCCCCCATTAATATATATGATTGACCTGAAGAATGAAAGTTGTATTATATACTTATCATATACTTAATATCATGCTCATAGCAATGAGAAATAGCTCTATATCTCAGACGGGCTGCAGCGTTGATTTAGCATGAAACAATTGTATTTTTTCAACAACAACAAAAAAAAAAAAATCACAATATTTTGAATTAGGGATGGACCGATACCACTTTTTGCAGAACGAGATACCGATACTATAACCGATCCCTGAATTTTCACTGCATTTGTAATTTTTAAATGTATTAGTAATAATCATATTAGTTGGCTTAATTTGTTCATCAAATATATATTTCTTTCAATTATTTGCATGCTTAATTAAGCCTGCTAAAATGCATTGTATGAGCTTTTGTTACTGTACATTCTATTGCTCTATCATATTTTATATTTCATTGAATAGCACAGCACATATTTAGACTAGAGCAGCTCCAGAAATGTCAGTGCTGAGAATTGGGTCAGTGGTACAAATGTTTAGACACCAGTGAAATTATTTATTTCCAATTATTTTTTTTCAAATCCAATTTTGATACTACAACAAAAACTGCCAGCCGAACGCACGGACCCCATGGCTACGTTCACTAGATATACCTGACTTTGTTTACTAACTTATTGACTGCAAACGTCCAGTAATAATGTAGGGAATCACTCATTATACATAAATCAGGTAACAGGTCATGTTTTACTTTACTTGATTTAGTTGTCATCCAAATAACACGTGCTGAGTGAACGATTTAGCAATCAAGAGCATTCAACAGAACTGCGCTCTCTCTCGTCAGTTAACGTTAATAATAAGCTAGTACATGCCTTGTTTTATTTTCTTTGCCATTGACATCCGACTAAACTACAAACCTTCCACTGATGTCTGTTTAAAGAGATGTGCTCGACCAGCTCGCGTGTCTGTGCTGCTGCGCGCTCAATCCACTGCGCGGTTTTCTCTGATGATCAGCTCGCGCACCACAGCTATGCGTTACTATACACACGCTGCCTGGTAACGTTAGGCCTATCGGTTATTGGTATCGGAGCATTTTTATGAGTACATGAGCTCGGTATTGGTGCACCCCTATAATAATTCAAGCACTTTTCAAGTACCTCTTCAAAAATATGGCTGTTTTCAAGGGTTTTCCAGGACTTAAATTTCAAAAAGTCAAATTCAAGTACTTCAAGCACTTTAAGCACCTTGTACGAACCCTGTCTGTTGCAAAGTCTCCATTTTAGCGAGTTTGACAGCAGCTGTCAATCAATCCCTCACTGCGGTCTCAGTTCGTCCCCTCTATCTCGGCTGGGCTCTGCCCACTTTTCCAGCATTTTTCAAATATTGCCAGTGGGTGGAGTCAGGCTCTGACCAGGGGTTTAGTTACCCTTTAAATATCTGAGGGTCTGGCCCATGCCAGGAATGCAGTAACAGTGCCTTCTCATTTAGAATTCCAGAAATGTAATATGGCTTATTTTTATTTATTTATTTTGAAAAAGGTCAACATGTTTTAAAACATATATCTGTTCTTCTAGCTCACCATGACAGCTAAGGGTCATTGGAACCAATAGTTTGAGTCAGAGCCATAGAGAGAAAGAGTTGCGACACTCCCATAGACCGCCATAGGAACTTTGGAATGCGGAAGTAACGCGTGTCGTGGAGCGGCCAATAGTTCCAAACACTGATAGTTTCTCCATTGAACCCCATTCATTTTCAGTGCTTCCGAAGTACGTTTGCTGGTAAATTAATGAAATTACTGTATTTTTTTACTTTTACACACATTAGCCGACCTCTCGTGAATCTAGTCTGTAGTTATATTTTATGTAGCCAGTTTTAGTAAATGTTTATTGGAAGATAACAGGTTAATTGCAGCGATAGCTTACGTGACCAACATTTCACTAACGTTAGCTAACTTACGGTAACTAATATATAATATTTTTAATAATATTTTATATGTATATATATATAGCCTATATATAATATTATATATACATACACACACAACTCATTTATTTAAATGGGTTAGGGTTATGCATATATGTGCTTATATGTATTTAGGAACATAGTTAATTCACTCATTAACTATCTCTCCGGTTTAATTTTATGAAGAATATTTTTCGGTTGAATATTTACCGAACATTGCTGTATATAGTCGTTGCTTTCTACGTTATGGGAGCAGTCTATTTCCCTCCTAAATCAGTCATTTGTACATGCACAGCGTAATTATTTATATTTTATGTTGGTTGGAGTTCTGAACGGACTGCAGACCTCTTTGCGTGATCACGAAGGTAAGCTAATGGCTGAATCGGAATTTATAAGCAAGATCACGGGAATCAATAGCCTAATACAGCCCAGTTGTGCTAAAATAAATATCATGAGACGTCCATCATCAGATGAATGACATGGAAAAGTTAAGTTAGAGCTGCTAAAGCCACTGCTACTACCCATGCGAACATGAACACTAAGCTTTTCCCTCCAAAAATATAGCCTAAAACTTATCTAAGTTGTCACCCTGCCTCTCCAAATGCAAAACTGACATTAACAAAATGCAATAACAGCTTAAAAAGTACTTGGGTGTGTGTTTTATTTTATATCTACCGTTTAATAATGCAATCGCTGCTGTCTGTCCATAGAAGAACATGACAGCCAGCGTATGTTTTGAAACTATTGGGGCTTACATGAACCACGTGACAGCCGTCGCGGCGACATCAAAGCGTGTCGCAACTCTTTCTCTCTATGGCTCTGGGTTGAGTGCCCATTTCTTATTTAAAGCATTTACTTTACTGTTCTATATTACAGTGTCTTCTCACTGAGAGAAATAACACGTTATCTGGATGTTTTGGGAAGAGTCTCCTGTTTATAGTCAAAGCCAGACCAAATCCAACCTTGAAGAAGCTGTGTGTCTGTGTTAGTATTCTTGGTTACAGGTTAAGGAACAAGTGGCATTATTGGAGATTGACTGACTGGTTTTCTTCGACATGCTGGACACACAGTCCTGTGACCTCGGAGGGCCACTCGTACCCAACTCAGGGTCCTGGTGGCAGCCGTACAGACTATGGAGATGTGCTACTGCCTATCAGTCCATGGTGGAAATTTACTATGTTTATCTATTTCTTAGCCAATCAGAATCATTCAACCTGAAGCAATGATGTAGCATAGGCTATACCTTGATGTATAACTGCTGTGATCTTTGTAACTGTAACTGGGCGGCCTACGAACTCCTTTTGAGTCTGGAAGCGGACTTTTGCCAGATGAAACTGCAAACTATCTTCAATAAAAATTCTCTTCAATTTATTAGAATTCTGACTCTGGTCTTAAATTGGCCGCACTTCTAACTCCTGTTCTTAATCTTATCTGGTTCTTGGGTCTTTAACTGTAAATCCCCTAAAGGTAATATAATTTGTAGTAGTATTATTATCTTATCAGTATTATTGTTCGTTTTTTTTTTTTTTTTTTTACAGAAACACTGAATGACCAACACTATCTTAGTTCAGTTAAAATGACAAATATGTATTCATAAATTTCCTTCATACATGGTTACCAAGTTTTATTTCTAATTACTTAAGTTCTATAGTTAAACCATGCTTGATCATTTTGTAATTTTGTAACCTATCTGATGACATGGTAGAGATTGTTACTATTTTTTGCAACTGTTTGCACCACGAGAGTATAAATAAATACATATTCTGTGTTTACAATTCAAACTTGATATGATTTGAATCATTATTGTGTGATGTTTTTCAGTACAGTTGCACTATTTAAACATTATCTGCACTTTTACAGAAGAAACGTATATCTGCAACTTTTCCATTTCTGCATGGGCTGGTGTTTGGATTTTTATTTTTTATTCTTTTATGTAATAAATACATTAAGACATTACACTGCATTAAGCCACGAATGTGATCCTGTTCCCCAACCTGAACACGGAGAAGCAAAGTCAACTTTGAGCTTTGGTTTTTCGTGCCTAAACTGATAAATATAGAAATGTCAAAATGCCTTGTCTAGGAGAGTATTGACATATAACACCATCGGTTATGTCTTACGTAAACACAAACCATTGGATTAAGACAGATGTGTAAGAGTATATTGGACCTGTGCTATATTTGTTAAGCTCTAAGCCGTTCCTGATCACCTCTTCCAGAGGGAATGAAATATGTTGCACATGTTGCTTGCCAATAAATAAAGAGTTGGCTATTCATGATACTTTTCATTTCTTATTTTATTTATTTATATTAAAAAAAAAAACATTAAGAATAGTTGGCCTATTATTTATTTCTGTGATCAGTATTGGCCAATACTGCTTCCAGTGATCAATAATTGGTGATTGGCCCCAAAAATCCTGAGTGACATCACTTTACAGTTCTTAAAGAGGAGAAAAATGTATTCAAAAAATTATTAAATAATTGCATGTTCTAGCCTAAATAGTCCAAAGCATGGGAGGACTTTATAATAAACCCTTCAAAGAAGCTTACAACCATTTAGTTTCATGTGGGCTACCTTTTCAGGTGTGTGTGTGCCGTTTAATGTGCTGACAAGTGTTTTATGTTTTGCAGTTACATTTTATCTGCAAATGTTAGAAGAGTGCGTCCACCAGACAAGAAAGGCAGCTGAATGATTTTGACTCAAATATTTATTTTGATATGATATGTTAATATATGAATACATATAATAATATATTTGATTTATATAAGCAATACATTTTTTTGAAAGAAAACAACTGTAAAGGTATTATAAATCCCCTTTAGGGGGATCTGAGGTCTTGGTTTTCTTTACAATTTTTCAGTTTTTTTAACTGTCTACAAGCAGTTGGTTGTTTTACAATGAAATCCACTACATTTATGTTGCTGATATCAACCTTGACATTATGTCTAAATATAAGTAGCATGGACTACTTTTATGGCGATTTAAGGTCGTTTTTATCATCTTGACAGCATCCGTCCCCATTCATTTTAATCCTATGGAAAGAGCAATCTTTTGTGGTCCACGGGGTTTGTAGTAACATGAGGACATAAACAATGACTTGGCTGGCAGGCTTTAAGAAGGAATGTTATATATAGCTAAACAAAGATTACAAAGAAAAAAAGTACCTTTTTTCCTTTGGTCCATGGCCTGTTTTTTCAAGAAGGCTTGCACCGCAGCCGAATTAACACCTTTGACTCTGTCATCTTTCTTGGGTGGTCCAGTTTTCAAGCTATACCGCTTCTATAAAAGACAGAAATCATTGAAAGCTATACTAGTCATTCCATGTCAAATCAACCAAAATTCAGAAACTTCCCCAGTCCAAAAATGGGGAAAAGCACTTAGTGTGTTTATTTGCCCCAAGTTTGCATGCCTGGAACTCAAGAACTATTAAAGAACTATTAATATCCTTTTAGATTCTGGTTTTTAACAAACATTTGTGTATCTTCATTTTAAAGCCCCTATATGGTTCAAACCCAAGAGATATGGAGATTTTAATGTGGCTCCATGAGTAAATTGTAAACCTTTTTTAGTGGTCGAAACCCAAATGTGGGTCACTGCGCATACAGCTGATACTCTTTTCTTTTATTAAAGAGGAATAACTAAAGAATAATGTTGAAACTAGAAATGTATCTCTTTTTTTTCTATCAACACAATTGCATAGAATACACCTTTCTGAGTGCCATGAATATTCTTTTTCCAAAGTTTGTGTGCCTGTAACTCAAAAAGTATTAAATATATCTTAATATGATTTAAACTGTTTGATTCTTAAACTTTTCTTTTGAAATCTTCTTTTTCAAGGCCTTGTGTGGTTAAATCACATTGATATGGGGATCTTCTTGATTTATGTAATTCTTTCACTAGGAAAAAAAATTATCAACATAAAAAAAATCATCCACCTCTGGTTGAGTTGACACGGAATGACACAATAGCAATGTGTATATGAGCATATGTGTATAAAGTTACATAAGCCTCAAGGTTCCACAAGACTTTTATTTCAATATATGAGCACATTTGATTAATATTACCCTAAACCTTGCTAGTTTGACATCTTAGAGCAGTAAAACATTTGAATTAATCAAACAACTACATAAAGTTGGACCTACCAAAGGCCTCGCTTGCACATATATGAATCTGATTCACAGACTAAATGATGTTATATTATTTTTGCATGCATATTTCTTCTCATACATACCGGTACGCCGCCGAGCCCTCGATTCTGGGTGGCGATGGAAAGCACATTGTCGAAATCCATGGTCCCTCACTGTCCACAGCTCACTCCTTTAGCTAATAGCAATAGCTACCACTATCCAGTCGACAACCACTCACCTCAGCCAGCCTTTGTGCCCGCAAACACGATCTAAGAGTCAACTGATATCTCCCCTGATGTTAAAATCAAACGAGTTTAGAGGAAGCAGAAACTAACTAAAAAAAAAAACCATCGATTATTGCCTTCAGCTTCTGGCCGTCATATCTGATCAGCTGCTGTACATTTAAACCGTTAAACAACGGAGTGCTTGACCTATTAATAATAAAAGTTCCTTTCTGTTTTTGCTCAGTGATAGCGTATCACTTTCCCTAAATTGTCATTAAACGACATTTAAGAGAAACGCTGTAAATCAACGTGAATATGGAAATCCTCTTGAGAGATTTGCGTTCTCTAGAAACGACAACCAAGCCCACGTCATCCGGTTCACATTTCCACGTCACGTCCGGTTGTTAAAGACCTGCGTTTTCTTCTTCTTCTTTTTTCAATTTTCAACTTTATCTTCTATCTTCTTTCGCAACTTTTTTTTTGTAAAGTTTTGATTAGTCACAATTAACTTAGACCGGAAATAGTAGACCACAAACAACAAAACAAATTAACCCTTTATGTTAAGTACAAATACCAAAAAGATAAGTCCATACACATTTTACCACGTGCTTTTTCTTGTGTTTCCTTGTTTTTGTTTGTTTGACAGCCAATGGGATTTTAAATGCAACTAAATTACTAGGGAAATAACATGTAATCTAAACCAAAACAAATAATCTAATAAATAGATCAAAACAATTAATACAAAATAAATAATGGAGGTCACTAAACAAAAACTAATAAACAAAATAAACTTAAAACATACTTATACTTGTGCCCGCAATCGACAAATTATATAAATGACCATATACAAGAACTATATTACTCTTTGGTTATAGCACGTGGTTTTCTTTTACATGCTAAATATGTATTATATAGCCGACTTGCGATGCCGACACATCATTTTGCAATTTAATATTGTCTTGACTTGTTCAGGCAAAATAAACATTGAAGAATACGCAATATTGTTTTTTAATGCCACCACAAGGTGTCGATATAGATCCACGAAACAGTTCAGCGGTCTGTTTACTTAACTAAATATCGTTTTATTAACATCCTGAATTTTTTATAGAACTCACATTATATCAGAAACAGTCGTTGACAATCAAACATTAAAGACACGATAAAAGGAAGACACCGTTCCAGTTTAAACACTTGTGATGCCGGTAAATCCCGCCCACACGTCCGCGTTGTAAACACTTTCACGCGTTCTGATTGGCGGGCCACAGTGCAGCTGATTTCTCTCCTCCCACTGATGATGGCCTGTCCCAAACACAAGACAAAAACAAATCGCGCATACAAAGGGACGTAAATACTAGCGGGTGCTCTGTTCGCCACGACCGATCTGTTCATCTTCCCACTGGCAATTCAACCTCAGATAAAGATGGTTTCTCCGGTCACTGTGGTAAGTATTACCTCTTTTCTCTATTAAAGCTTTTCATTAAAACACCAACGTTTAATCGACATTATCACTTCATAAAGACGTGATATCAGTTCAACTGAGATTGGCATTATATGCATTCATAAGTTTTTGAAGTGATCATTTTAATTTCGAATTCATGTATTGCTTACCTCTGCAAATCACTTATTCTTTATGTCATATAAATATAAAAAATGATGCTTATAGTGACTTGTTTTTGCTGTTAAGGAGAACAATACACATACGCTGACATCACTGTTTGTTTTATATGTATATTTGTGTCCATGCATCCTTGAGTCTGTTATCTTGGGAATAACAATGAGCACGTGATTATGGCCAGCATGCTCATGTTTACTTTACCTCCACTAACCATGTGCTGTATGATCATGAATTGCTGGTTTATTTATGCAAAGGTTCCATTGATCTATAATTAAGTTAGCACTGTGCAATTCGCTCTGCAGGGTTTGCATTCTCAGTATTTCCCCATTTTCTCTGCTTTCATCTGCTTTCAAAGGGCTGTATTCAGTAGAAAACTCGTGACAATCCTTCATTCCCCTTTCGTACACGCATTCTGGCTGGAAGAGCGTGAGTTCATGCGGTTTCTGAAGTGATGTAGTTGCACTGTTTCAGCAAAAACCTTTTGTTTCAAATGTCCTGTTTTCAGCATCTCTTTTCACTAATGATTTTTTGTTGTTGTTTTTTTTAGTTATATTGTGTATGACCAACTAAATATGTTCTCAGGTTGTTTTTCATAAATGTGAAATTGGGGCGAGTTGTCCGTGCTTTAATTGTGCATTTTTTTTCTTTTAATGTATTGATTTGAGTTGGCCAAACTAGTTTGATATTTTATAAGCCTTTTTAACTTTTTACATAGGCCTACATTTTATACATTGTTTTGAGCTTCATAGATGTTTTACCGTTTCATTATTTTTCCTGAAAAACATGTGATAGGCTGTTGAACAGCAGGTTCTCACTATGACAACTTATCCCGTGTAGGCTTGGTTTCACAGGATTAGGCCTCAGTAAAATTAGGACATTTAAGTAGATTTTATAAACATGCATTAAAAAAAGCATTACTGGTGAGACAAAACAATGTCATTGACATTTTTTGAAGACATGTCAGAGCAAGTTGCTTTCAATTCAAACAACTCAAACATGCATTTTAGTCTGGGACTAGATTTAAGCCTTGTCTGTGAAACTGGTGGGTGGTGTGACAACATGCCCCACTGTTCAGCCTAATAAACTGTAAATTGTTATCTATTTTATTTAGCAAATCAAGTTATTTTAAATTAGTCTATTAAGTGTTGAGCTTGGATTACATGATTTGGACTAAATTTTTAGTAAACAGACATTTCGTACAATTATTGCTAGGACAGTCCCACCAGCACACTGGTTATAGTGAATGGATCATTCCTTGTGAGGTGCACATGTACAACCTTTTCTTTACCAGCCTATATTTATAACCACAAAGTTTAACCACATCCATTTGAAAGAACTGCACCACAAGTCTGCATTATAAAGAGCTCCTGCTGTGTGCACCATCTCTTCACATCAACTGGCTTGAAATTAAAAGTCTCTGTATTTCAGTGTGACCTTTCTCAGACTGCGGGGTACACCAGAATCTGATTAAAATGTACGCTGTCTAACAATAGCCTTTTTCCACTTCCCCCACGGGCTAAAGCTCAAACTACAAATTCCAAGACTAAGCCAAGACCAACTGTCATGGACTAAGAAGAGGATTAGGACAAGAACATTTTTCCCACCTTCAGTTAATACAGGTCATTGAAGCAGTTGTGTTATGTGTAACACATACTGTTATTATTGTACATAGTTACTGTTATGGGGTTGTTCTTGTGATATTACTCTTCTAAAGAACATGACCTACAATTTGCGCAAAATTTCTGCAAATGTGCAAAAAATCCAATAGACTTATAGCGTCCTTCTGGAAACCACCAACAAGCTCAGCAACCCTTGCAACTAACATAGAAACCAGCAACATCCCAAAACAGCATAGTAAAACAAAACCCGATTGTCTTGAGAATAGGATTTTCAAGGTACCAAAATTTAGCTCAGTACCAATACCAGCCAAATTTCACGGTTCTCGGTACCATTTTCGGTACTATAGCAAAAACGATTTTGTTGTAATGTATATGTTTAATTTTAACTATTTGAAATAAATAAATGAAATGAGTTCATTTTAATGACTATGATTATAAGTAATAATATGTTAAAACATTAGCCTTCAAATATTGTTCAGTTAAATAAACATTGCATTAAAAAAATCACATGAAAAGTTAGTAATAAAATGAAAAACAAAGAAACACATTGCAGGTAACAGAACAAGTGGAAGGTCTATTGCACTTTCAGACATAATGCACGTATCTATTTTGACATCAGATTTTTTTTTTTTACTCTCGTCCGTTGTCAAACATCGCGGTTTCAGATTGAATGCCTTCATTTTAATACGGTCGTCGCTCCTGCACCTTTGCAGTGTGTACTTTGCAACATGAACAATAAAACTTTATTCAAATTATGAAATGGGTTATTTACACAGAAAGCGAGCAAATAGTGCTGCTATTATAATCAATGCCCACAAGCTCACTGAGTGGAAACTCCTGTTATAATCAAAAATCTGTTTATACTGCACAATAAATCTCTTATGTATATCGTCTTTATACTTTGTTGGTTATAACAAAATCTAATGCTGAACCAACTCTGGGCTGCGTTCAGCGCCGACAAAACGTTGCAGAACGTTTTTTAAACAGAAACGGTGATGCGTTGAACGCACTGTTGTGATGACGCAAGAGTTGCAACTATGGCAGCTGAGAAGGCTTTTTGTGTTCTTTGTGAAGAATTTTCGGAGCATGATTAAGTCGGTATAAATATGTTTAATACCACAAAATATGCCCGATGTTACAGTTACTGCTTTCCGCCCAGAACACAAGAGAACATCCCAGTCGAGTGAAGGGATTTGTGGAAACTGAAATGGAAGCACATCTTACCTAATAAAGACTAAAACACATCTAATTAGCCTCACATACTGACTTTATTTGTTGTTCATACTGTTTTATTAATACCCTGTATTTTCTTTCTCATTTTTAGGAAAGGCACTTTACATGCATTGTTTATTTCTATAGCCTACCAAATGTCACACACTTGCAATGAAGCTAAAAATATAAACAACTACATCATTATGTTGATATCCTATATTTTTACAATAATACTTACGACAAACATGTCTTCTAATATCCTCAGTTGTTGCGTATCGAACACATTTGTAAATTACTTCCATTGTGCGAGTTCTCTTTAATACCGTGTGCTTTATATACATGTTGCTGCTGATTGGACTGCAGTTCAGACACACCCACCAAACAACAGAAAACGCATCTCAAACCCCGTTGCACGCCGGTGCACGCCGTTTCCAGGAAACATGGCGTTCAACACGGAAACCGTAGCAAAACGTTGCGCACCGTTTTGAACTTAAACGTGCCCCTGGTGTATTAACCGATTCTGACTAACTAAAACGCCTCTGATTGGCCATTGCACTCACACGATCAACAAACATGTCTGTGATTGGCTACAATGCTCAACGCTGCAAAAAATACGTTGTAAATAGAAACCTTTGATGCTCTCTTCACGGAGTACTTTTGACAACCCTACATGAGAATATGATAAAAATCCAGTTCTACACGTACTACATACATTTCTGTATGAAATATAATTTTAAGATTAAACATGTGGTACATTGCATTTATGACAGCTACTGCTCAATGCGGTGTGAAGTCTAGAATCACCCCGTTTTGTAATGCGGGAGGTTGTGTAATCAGACTCATTTGACCCTATGGGTCACAAAACAAGCTGTATGTTCTTAAATAGTTTTGTATGTGGGTGTAAGTCAATACTTCATCCTTAGTATTGTTGTTTGTTTTATGACCCTTTATGTACAGCACTTTGGTCAACTACTGTTGTTTTTAAATGTGCTCTGGAAATAAATTAAACTTGAAACTTGTAGAAAGATGCCCAGCTCTTCCTGCCTTGTTTACAGCAAAACTTTGACATACTTCTCTTGGGTTTGGTATCCTTACTGAGATTTAACAATTGTCATAGTTTTTATTCATTATATTTCACATTTCCAAGAAAACGCATGGATCACATTTCACTGAAGTGCTTCTTGTTAAGTGTTTTTATCACCTCAAATTGTTAAATGTAAAATGAGCTCTGTGTCAGTCTTTCTGACTCGCGTGATAGTGTGTTTCACTTCCCATGAATACAACTTCAATCTCTCTTTTGTCCTACAGGTCAAGAGCGAGGGTCCAAAGCTTGTTCCGTTCTTCAAAGCCACTTGCGTCTACTTTGTTCTGTGGTTGCCCACCTCGAGCCCCACCTGGTACAGTGCCCTCATCAAATGCCTGCCCATCTTCTGTCTTTGGGTTTTTCTGCTCGCTCATGGCTTCAGCTTTTTAGGTGCCCACTCCAGTGCCAGGAAAATCCTGGCAGGACTTATTTTTTCAGCTTTGGGTGATGCATTTCTCATCTGGCAAGAACAAGGCTACTTTAGTCACGGTGAGTTAATACATTTGTTTTGCTCTGATTTGATTAGAAATGGATTAAGAGTTATTTGCTATGTGTGTTGATGAGAAGGGAAAGATGTATAATTCTGTTTATCGAAAGCTCTGTATCAATATAACACTTTTGCACTTTCAAAAGTGATTAAATTAGTTCATGCTAATTATTTGAAAGCAGACTGGTTTTATGCAAGTCTCCACTCTCAAGCAAGAAGTTTTATGTTCCAACCCTGAACTATCATGCCTGTATCAGCGGCTCTTGTACTGAGAAAGTAGTGTAGAGGTTCAATGATGTTTTTTTAGGACAAGGTTGAGGGTTGGGACAAACCGTTCTTGCCCAAAGATACCCTTGGGAACCACAGAGTTACTCAAGTTTTCCTTTGGAGTAAACAACAGGGTTATGGTACCAAGACTAACACGTTTCTTGATATATCCTGTACAAGAGATATCAATGTTAAATTCTTTCATTCAGGAGTGTCCAATCCTGCTCCTGGAGACCTTCCTGCAGCGTTGATCTTTATCACATCCGAAGCTATTCAGGGTTTTCAGGATTGCTTGAAAGTTATTGTGTGTTGTAGCTCAACTCTGCAGGAAGGTTGCCCTCAGGAGCAGGATTGGAATAGGGATGCACCAATATGAAAATGTTGGCCAATACCGATAATTCTTTATATTTGAAACCCGATAACCAATATACTGGCCGATAAATCTATATCCAAATTTTTATATTATTTTTGAGAGCCTGGTTACAAAAACTAAAGTTTCACCATTAAAATCCATGTCCCAAGGATACAATTATAATGATGTTCTGCACTGACTTGCGCTGCACATGTTGTACATGACTGCATTTTCCTTTTTTGAAGTGATTCCAATCCATTTTCAAGTGATTTAAAACCATCTGCACATGAACAGTGCGCATCTGAAGTGTCTCAGCTGAAGGAAATAATCCATTATTTATGGGCCGATACCGATAGGGTGCCCGATAAATCGTGCATCCCTAGTTTGGACACCCTCTGCTTTCATTATGATGCTTTCATTGAATACTCAATTCAGTTGAATTTGCCTTGACAGGACTGCTAATGTTCGCCATCACCCACATTCTCTACTCTTCGGCCTTTGGGATGAAGCCCATCAACTCCAGAGCAGGTCTGGTCATCGCTGTCATCTCAGGCCTCAGCTACACCCTTCTTTACCCCTACCTCTCTGGTCCCTTTACCTACCTGGTGGCCGTTTACATCGCTCTCATCGGCTTCATGGGCTGGAGGGCCATTGCTGGAGTCCAGCTCGCCAATGACCTGTGGACCTGGACGAAGCTGTCGGCCTGCCTCGGAGCCGTCCTCTTCATGGTATCTGACCTCACCATTGCCGTCAACAAGTTCTGCTTCCCTGTGCCCCACTCTCGAGCCATCATAATGGCGACCTACTATGCAGCACAGATGTTGATCGCACTGTCGGCAGTGGAATGTCAAGATGCCGATGCATCTTGGAAAAGAGCCTGAGGGACCATACATTAACCAACCTTCCCCTAATGACTCAACATCAGTAGCAGCTGCACAGGTTCAAGTTCCACTTCCTGAAACCTCTGGTCCTCCCACAGTTCCCCTGTCTGAGCACGACTGGGATATATTGGTTATAGTTGAAGAATCGCCTGTTTAAATCCATGTAAGACCAGACCAATGGGGGAATTCTTGCTGGATTCATGTACAAGGTTTGATAGTCTTGGTCTTTAGTCTATTGACTTAGTCAAGTCTCTCACCATAGTTCCTCAGTCTTACAATACTGCATTTGTTTCCTACATTCCTCTAGTAGTACCACTATTTTGGTGTCAGGAAAGGACAGACAGTTTTTGAGTTCTGGTTACTAGATCCTCAATATACCCTACTTCCTTACCGTAGCATGTTCTCCATTTCAACCACAGTGTCTTCTCAGTGTCTCTGATACGTTGTCCTCTTCAGATAGTCCGATAGTCCTTGATGGCTTGTACTGTGAACAAAGAGAGAGTCTTGAGTGACTAGTCTTCATCTGGAACCTACTTTCAGTCCTGCAGAATGGACCAGCAAACAATACAAAGTGGTTCTGGTTTTTCTTAGGGGCTGGTTTCCCCGTCTCACCGTAGATTTCCCAAACGTAATCAGAGAGTAGCAAGAAAATCATTTCATATTAAAGCAGATATGTTACCGTAGTGCTGCTGTATTGAAAATCAATGCACAATCTTTGCTGTAGTATTGTGAGGTATACCTTAATGTTTATCCTGTGTCACTGACACATTTTAAAGTGTTGATTTCAGTAGAACACAAACCGTCATGTCTAAATACACATGTGCTGGAGTAGCCTAGTTGTCTCGGCTCAAATAGGCCATCATGTCCTAATGACTGCAACCAGCGCTAGCGTTGTCTCTATCTTTACGAAGATTTGAGATGTATATGAAAACACAGATCGAAACTCTCATAAAAAGGGAAGGGAGACGGTGTCTGTTATCTTTTTCTTAGGTTTCTGCCAAGTGAGCAGTATTGCTCAATACCTCTACCACAAGGAAACGGCAAATAAGTACAAGTTGTACTGTTAATCCTGTATGTATAGTATCAGATAATATTTGTAAAGAGGGAGTGATGTCAGATGATACGCATGTATCAAGCTTCCAACCACTCTCATTTGTCTTTTGCCAGTAGGAAGCATCTTACTCAAGGGAAAGTGGGAAGCCCTGTGGTGAGCGAATGTCGTGTGTTTTAGATGAGGTATTTTATCTGTAAGCCAGTTCTTTTTTCAGTTCTTCTTTTTCTCGTTTGGGGCTGTGCTGCATTAGCTGAATCGCATACTAGGGTGAATCACAACATATTTGTAGACATATTTCACTCCAAATTTAAAAGTTATATATTTTGCATAAAGAAAATGTCTATTTTAGCATCAAGAAGGTGTTTTTGCGTTATCTTCATGACATTCTCATCAGACCATAATGTAAAAAAATTGCTGTCATTCCTGTAATGGACCCAGACGTTTTACTTTTGTTTATAATTCTCATTATTCTCGATGATGATTCTCATTGGATTTTCAGTACTGTAATGAGAATTATTCTGAATTATTCATTGTTTATTTTTTTTTCTTTATGGGAAAACAAATACTAAAATCATGCAAGTACTTTACGATTTAAATATGTATTTTTCAAATCACGTTAATGGTAATTAATTCATATAATTAATATGAACCTTAACTGCGATAATATCAATACCAACAAATGAAAACTGGTACTAAACTAGGCTTCATTTTATTTATGCAAAATGTTCTGTTTTGGGGGGTGAAATATGACCTGGACATTTTTCTGACAGGCTTTGTGAGATTCTGCCATTTAAGCAAATAGCACATGTACTGTACTATATTATCAGTTGATTCAAACTGATCATTGTTTTATTCATAAGTCTCAAAAAGGATCATCAGCTTGATCCTTCACTAAATGAGGGAACCTCAGCCATGATGGGAAATGCTGCTTGGTCTGATATGTACTCAGCTGTTGTACCCTCAGGTGTGAGTGGAAATGCGCTTTGAATGCAAACACATCGGATCACTCAACAGTGGTCCATTTTAAAGTCATATGGCATCCTCAACCTGGTCGTGTTGCACGGGACTGCAAACAAAACATTGAACATTTCCAGGGGACAAAAAACATACATTCTTTGTATGTTCAATTATTCTAAATTCATTTTTAATTCAATGAATAACATTTTGCTTCTCAAGTAAAACAAGCCAAAAAAGAAAGATTTATTTCACATCAGATTAAATATGGCATAGACAATTCTATATAGCATTAAAAATACTGAGACCGGCATAAACGCTCCTGTCGCTATCAGCACGCGCTCAACCGCCGAGCCCTCGAGAATCAGCTAGGCTATTTTTACACATTTGCTTAACGCCAAGTTTTATAGGTTCCCTATGCAGGGGTCACACTGTCAGCAAACCGTTTCAGCTTAGCCGGGGAAAAAACGTACATGATTTGCAACGTCATCAAAACAGAATGTCATTTCAGAGCCATTGTGTCCCACACTACGAATCAGTAATGTGTTGTGTGAAGGTCTGCGGCAGAACGACATTTTGAGTGAAGTTATAATTGTTCGTAGGATGGGTTTCATGAAAATAAGAGTTGAAAAGACCCCATGAAGTGTCCCTTAATCACGTTTTAGAGGCGAACACAGACTTTTCAAGTTAATTCTCATTGTAAATGTCATGTGACCAGTTTAGAAAGTCAGTATTCCTCTTCTATACTTAGCATTTCTTTTGTTCTTTGTTTGCAACCTGCTGCCACCTCCCAGATGGTCAGAGTTCGACCTCGCCTGGTCGTTTCCTTCTCTATTGTGTGAATGCGAACTCCGTAGAGGAGAACAGGTGCCTTCTGTTTCCCTCACTGAAATGCTGTCCTTTGAGAAGCGTGGAGACAGTCACTGGCACGGGGAAGATTTCCTTTCCATCTGGCTTTGCTTTAGCTTGCGACCTTATTCAAATGGCAGTGAGCGCGATCGTTTTACCCCCTCTGTCAGCACTCGGGTGTTTGATGCTTTTGTGAGGGGTCGAGGGGGATGAAACTGAATGCTGGGCGTTCATTGGGTTCAGTATTGATGACTGTGTTTAGGTATAGCAGTCCTGTTGTGAAAGATAATGAGGAATAATCCACTTGGTTCAGAGCACACCATTGAGGGGTGTACTGTAAATATTTGCACTTTTCCATTTTATCTTTGTATAACTTTCCTGATATTATCTTTATGAGTTTGAGGCCTGAAACTTACTCTACGCAAATGCTGGATGCAATTCATAAAGTCCGATTGTGTGCATAACTGCATTCTGAAACGTGTCAGGTGACAGTTCATAACGTGACGTGTTGCATTCTCAGCGTCACCACAAGGGGTGCTATAAAGAGCATCTTGAAGAGCATTCTATGGAAGCTTGAATAAAAAATAAAAAAGATTATTGTGACTTTTTCTCTCGCAATTCAGACTTTTTTCCTCGCAATTGTGAGTTTATATCTCACAATTCTGACTTTATATCTTATAAAACTCGCAAATTTTTTTTTTTTTTTTTAAACAAGCTTCCATAGTATCTTACTGGGCAATTTAGTTAAAATTAGTTCAATAAATGGCATGTTTATAGCTAGCAACGTGAACAAACAAAACTATAAAGATAACTAAAATGAAAACCATAGTAGCATCCCCCCAACGGACGATAATGTTGTTTATTATAAGTGCATACTGCAGTTGTTGTCTGCCACTTTAAATGCTTGAGCTCTTTAAAAGTGGATTCTGATTGGCTGTCAATGTTTTTATCATTCATCAGCTGCAAAAACTCATTCTGAAAGTGATTCCAACGATAACGTTCCTCTGTGTCCTTATCGTTGTGCTGTGAATTTGACTATTCTCGTAGAATGATGATTAAAACGTTATAGTTATTGTCCTTGGTGTGAGTGGGCCTTCATAACACATCTGTAGCCTGTTGCGTACAGTATATTTCTGGCCTTACAGTGTTATTGAGTACAGTTTCATACCTTGTGGATGAAGTTCTCAATGATTCAGAATTTTCTATCTTTAATTTAAACTCTGTCCTTTTGCATCATAGTATAAAATGCACTTTTAAAATACGTCCTTTCATAGTATTGTTGCCGTCTTTTTTCACTAATATAAAAGTTTTGTTCCTTAACCTAGTGAGCTACCATTTTGTCTGCTGTCTCAGTTAGATTGAACATCGGTGACTGACAGGAGTCTCGCATTAATTAGCATGTTGCTAAGCTAACGCAATAGCACGTCAATATGCTCACAATACACCTTTTATTATTTAACTAGTGTTTATCAATGTTTTTTTAGTATTGAGTGAAATTTAAGTATTTATAATTCACATTTTTTTCGACCCGTCCTCCATCTTGGATTGATTTTTCAGACAGTGTTTTCGGGGATTGCATTCTCTGTAAAAGATAGCTAATTGCTAATTAGCTAATTGAGATATCTGAGAATGATGGAAGCATCTATGATGCCTTGAAATGCTGTATAGGTAGGTATATAGCTCACTAAGTTTTAGTATTCAGACATTAGATTTGAGGGGGAAAAAACATTTTATTTCTTATTTATTCAGTTGTTTTTGCTTTAACACACTTTTTTCTAACATCTGCCATGAACATTGTGTACAATCTCAACTTTACCAAATTTGCTTTATATTATTCTGTATCACCTCTGCCTGTAAAAGTAAATCCAAGGGTAGATGCTGTTACTAACATCAAATATAGCATAATCCTGTGATTCCATCTTATGAGAAAGTCTTATAAGATACCAGTGTAATAACATTATTATTATTCCCCATAGCTGACGGTAACCACTGCCCAGTACTAAAAGCACACACTGGAAGTGTATTCATATGTTGGATTTCACATTTACAGTTACAGAAAAGTATAAAGCTAAGCTGGACCAATATTGCAGAGTTTTTGGATTTGAATATATGTAAAAAAAAAAAAAATTTATGACTATGCTGTATGTAAGGCAGTGACAATACTTTGGTAGTGAAAGCTGTGCAGTTGTAATTACAATCTCTAAAAATCGATAAATAAATCCTTGAGGAGGTTTTATGGTCTGTCTGTGAACAATATTACTAAATAAGGGAAACGCATATTTATTGGAGTACCTCTCTCTCTCTTGCTATATATCTATATATTTTTACATTTGACCCTTAACATTGTAAAGTTACCATTATGTTGTGAACGAATGCTGTTTTTTTCTGAGTAGATGTGAGGTCTATTCAATATTTTGCCTTATTGTTACTATCAAGTAGTTTAATTTGTTTCGTTATTGTGTTAAAGGACTGTAGTGCTCCTTTACTATAGTGATACTGCTATGAATGTGATTCAGTCCAAGTAAGAAATAAATGCAACTGCAATGCAACTGAAAACATGTTACAAGTGTGTTTGTCTCATTATTGTCATTGGCAACTTGCAGAAGACGATGAACCCTTAAAGGGACAGTGTCAGTGTTGGGGTAACTCATTACAAGTAATGCAAGTTATTGAATTTTACTTTGAATTAAACTTTTAAATTCACAACAAAATCTCTGAATGACTTTTTCAACGCTAGTTATAGTTTTTCCATTTATTGACTGACACCTCTCCCGTCCGCATGTTGAGAGAAACCGTGAGTACGTGCAGAGGCGTGTGTGTGCAGTGTAAACATGATTCTTATTGTAGATCTAATCTAGACTTGTATGCATTTACTCACCTCACTTGCAAAAAACAGATTCAGTTTTCCTCTAAATGAATACAAACAGTGAAATGCCTATTTAAAACCTATTTAATCTCACTTTATTAACCAATGTCTTTGCTGCTGATCTTTAATGATCCAATAAATAAACATTTGTTTTTTATTTAATAAAAAAG